AAGGCAGATGATTGTCAGTTCCTGTTATTTTTGTTGCTGGTGGTATTATGTGTGTATGATTCTCTTCTTTTACATTCGTTGAGAACTGTTTAGTTTCCTATGTTTTCTAGGGTCTAGTTACCCTCCTTGTATTGGAGATTTTCTTCTAGTATCCTCTATAGGGCTGGATTTGTAAAAAGATATTGTTTAAATTTCACTTTGTCAGTCATGGAATATCTTGGTTTCTCCATCTATCATGATTGATAGTTTTGCTGGGTATAGTATCCTGGGCTGGCATTTGTGTTCTCTTAGGGTCTGGATGACATCTGTCCAGGATCTTCTGTTTTTTAGAGTCTTTGTTGAGAAGTCTTGTGTAATTCTGATAGGGTTGCCTTAATATGTTATTAACTATTCTCCCTTACAGCTTTTAATATTCTTTCTTTTCCTCTGTGCATTTAGTGTTTTCCTTACTATGTGACTGGATTTTCTTTTCTGGTCCAATCTATTGGTTGTGCTGTAGGCTTATTCTACATTTATGGTCTTTCTTTAGATCAGGGACATTTTCTTCTATAATTTTGTTGAAGATGTTTTCTTGCCCTTTTGAGCTGGAATTCTTCACCCTCTTCTATTCCTGTTATTCTCAGGTTTGATCTTTTCATTGTGTCCTGAATTTTCTGGATGTTTTGGGTTAAGAGCTTTTTATACTTTGTATTTTCTTTGACTGACGTGTCAATATTTTCTATGGCATCTTCTACTTTCGAGATTCTCTCTTCTATCTCTTTTATTCTATTGATGATTCTTGCATCTGTAGCTCTTGATCTCTTTCCTAAGTTGTCCATCTTCAGGGTTGCCTCCCTTTGTATAATTTTTTTGTTTCTATTTCCATTTTTAGACCATTTTGTTCATTTCTGTCACTTATTTTTCTGTATTTCTTTAAGAATTTATTTGTTTCTTCTTTAAGGGCGTTTACCTGTTTGCCTGTGTTTTCCTGTATATCTGTTTTGTTTTGTTTTGTTTCGAGACAGGGTTTCTCTGTGTAGCCCTGGCTGTCCTGGAACTCACTCTGTAGACCAGGCTAGCCTCGAGCTCTTGAACTCAGAGATCCGCCTGCCTCTGCCTCCCAAGTGCTGGGATTAAAGGCATGCGCCACCACCGCCCGGCTCCTGTATATCTTTAATCCCTTAAATATTCCTTTATATCCCCCTTATCCTCCTTAAAGGACTCTAACATCTTCATGTGATGGGATTTTAAGTCATTATCTTGCTTTTCTCATGTTTTAGGGTAGCCAGGGCTTACTGTGGTGCCAGAACTGGGTTCTCATGTTGCCAAATTGTTTTGGGTTCTGTCACTTATGATTTTGCACTTGCCTCTGGCCGTATGATTCACTCTGGTATTAACTGGCCTGGGTGTCTTTGACTAGAACCGGCCTCCTTGGAGGCAGGTAAAGCTCTGTGACCTGAGTTAGAGCTGGTCTCCTCGGAAGCAGGCAGTGTTGTCTCTGGTTAGTGTAGGCCTCCTGTGTTCCTGGTTAGAGCAGCCCTCCTGTGTCTCTGGTTAGAGTAGGCCTCCTGTGTCTCTGGTTAGAGCAGGCCTCCTTTGTCCCTGGTTACTGCAGACCTCCTGTGCTCAGTTGCTGTCGATCTCCTAGGAGGCTCTCAGGTTGCAGGGTTTGGGCAAGTATCAGCCAGGCCACTGATCTGGCCTGGGTGAGGAAGTGAGCTGGAAGGAAGGTGGAGCTTGGAGGGGTAGGGTGGGTGGGAAGGGTGAGATGTAGGGGAGGGGACTTTGGGTGTAGGTCCCATGTCAGCTGGGCTGTGTAGATGTCCCAGCTGGCATGGGTAGTTGGGTGAAATTTTCCCCTGTGTCTTTGATCACTGCAGACCTCCTGGGAAGCATGCAGGCTGCAGCATTTGGGTGGATATTGGCCTAATTCTAATATTTTAAGGCCCAGCCTCCAGTTAAAACTATTTACTGTGTATTTATTTTAAACATTGTAATTTTTATATGTAGAATCTGAATCTTGGATCTTCTCTGTTTCTTAAACATCTTGACAGAGTTATTGTTTGGGGAGTCTGCTTAAATCTAACATAACTCAAACACCATACAGATGACAAAAATTTATTGTAATCAAGCATCTACTAGTTAGGGCCAAAGAACAGACTTGGGAGCTGAGCTGCAACTCTGAAGGGACACTGCAGCATATTTAAAAGATGAAATAAAAACGTGAGGCGAGAAGAAGTGGGGCGGACTGTAGCATGGTCCAATCACATTTTGACATAAGGAGTTGAGCAAGGGCGTTTCCATCAATCGGGATAGAAGTCGGTTCCTGGGCCTGGAAACCTGAGTTTGGTTTGATCCTATTAGCAAGATGGAGAAGTTGTCCCTGAGATGTTTGGACTTGGACAACTGTTTCCTTATAATAGAAACTGTTCAGCTGTTAGGAATTTCCCAGCTCCCATAGGGCCTGAGCTTTTGCATTTAGTTTCTCACTAAGATTAAATGGAATCTGTAAAGGAAATGGTAGTACTTAGAATAAGTTTCTTTTGCTTATTCTCAATATCATAATAATTAATTTAATGTTCCACTTATTAATTCTACCTTCTATGGTAGTTTTGAGTTAGTGGTACTTTTTATTTTACAGGACCATATTTTCCTCCTTATTTTTGAGACATGCTCCTACTGTATAGCTTGGCTGGCCTGGAACTCACTGTGTAGATGAAGCTGATCTTCATAATGATTTGCCTGCCTTCTGTCTCCAGATAATGGGTGTGCCACCTTCCCTAACAGGGCACAATACTTCTTACAGATCTTCTGTCCACAAGATCCCCTCCTCTTACTTCTCTCTCTCTCTCTCTCTCTCTCTCCTTTTGTTTTCTTTTTCTTTCATTCTCTAAAGATTTATTTTAATGATGAACGTGTATCTTTGTATATATTTATGTACCTTTGAGTAGATATATTTGCCTGTGTATGAGACATTCTTTACTTCATAAGCACCCTTGTGGTTTGTTGTGGAACACAGCTAAGTTACTTAGGAACGGATTCTTTTAAGGATTATTTTTTAATTCATTAGGTTAGATTGTTGCAGCCATTAGTCTTGGGATAAATATGCTTCCATGCAAAGGTAAGATGTTTTTAAAGCACCTATCTTGGGGTTTCTATGGCTGGGATGAAATACCATGATCAAAAAGCAAGTTGGGGGTGAAAGGGATTATTTGGCTTACATTTTCACATCACTGTGCATCATCAAAGAAAGTAAGGACAGAAACTCAAGCAGAGCAGGAGCCTGAAGGCAGGAGCTAATATGAGGCCATGACGAGGTGCTGCTTGCTTCCCATAGCTTGCTCAGCCCGCTTTCTCAGCCACCCCAGGGATGGGCCCATCCACAGTGGCTTGACCCTTCCCATATTGATCACTAATTAAGAAAAGCTGAATATATAGAGGCTTATATATTCAGCTGAATATTATAGAGGCATTTTCTCAGCTGAGGTTACCTCCTCTCTGATGACTCTAGTTTGTGTCAAGTTGACATCAGACTAGCCAGCACAGTACCCTACTTATAGCCTAATGGGTTACAAATTTTCCATTCTGCCTGGTAAGGACAGGTCATTTCCCTGGCTTGCGGTGAGCAACGAACACTAGTCCCTCTCGTTATCCAGATGTTTCCCCCTCACTCTAGTTGTAGTTTTCTCAAGGAATGTGTTTGGCAGTGCTGTCCTCAACAACAGGAGTTATCTTCACCTCAGAAAACTTGGCTCACAGTAGGCACTTTTAAAATATTTACTCAATGCTTATTGTTAGCTCCTTGTTGACAAGTAAGACAGGTTTGGGGACATTCGGCTTTTCTTTTCACTACTGGGTTAATTCTAACCTTCAAAATGGTATTCAGGTGAACATCTCTTCTCAGACTGTGTGAGTTGGGGTTAAGCTGTTTACAAATACCCATACTTGGCCTGAGCTCTGAAGCCAATGTTGCCTTAGCTAGCAATGCTCAGAAGATTCTGAGGGACCCTGAGGGTAAGAGGGAGGGCATTTTCCAAGAGGTGTGCAGGGATGAATTTAACACTCATTGTTCACTTTTGCCTGTTTTATCTATTATGAGACAAAAAAGATTCACGGGGAAGAAGTGACTGGTACAAATATTTAAAAGAATATGCACTCCAGTCATTTGTCCAAGAGGCAGCTACCCATGAAGACCTTTTCTCCTTCAGAGGGTGTCCATACCAGATAAAAGGAAGTGTGGCCCATGGGATGTTGGCTTGAGTGGCAGTAAAGATGTAAAAAATCATGATTTGATGTCCCTTAGAAAAGTACGCATGAAAATTGCTTAACCAAATTTCAAATACCATTTATAAGAAATGAACTTGAGAAATATTTTATTCAGAAATGTATTCGTTACAAAGCAACATGTATATTTTCAAAAGTGCTCACAAAATAAATTAGAAATTCATTATGTACAACTTTAAATACGTATCTTGTAGCTGTGCAAGGCACTTGCAGATCTGCTTGTGCATCCTGCTGTGGTGGTCTGATCCCTTTTACAGCTGGATTTACAATATGATCATAGCAGTTTCAGATTCCACAAGCTTCTTTCAGACCGCTTCATCATGGCAGTGACTGCCTGAACACTTTCCTTCATCATTTTCTTCTTTAGTAAAATCTTAGCATAGTAATGTTAGAAGAATCATTACAGGTAGAAAAATTCTTGCCTTTTAAATGGAGTTTAGATGCTGTCATTGGTTTCAACATTTTTCTACTTTCAATTCCCTTCTTCAGGGGAGGTGAGAAAGACTGCTCCGAAGCCGGTCATTAACAGTACAGATATTTCCATTAAAGGGGTAATGCTCATTTCCCATTTTAAAGCATCTAAACTAAACAACAGCGATATGCCAAAAAATAAGTTAAGAATCCCTTTTGTAATTAAAGAATAAACATTAGTGTTCTTTTAAATGTGACACCCTTAGTATTATATATACTAAAAGCAAGATATATATCTTCGTAGTGTAAACTGGAAGTTAATTTTGTCATGGAGATTGATTGAAGGACAGCCACAATCCTAGAATTTGTGAGGTTTGATTCAGGCAGACGATTTTGACTTCTTGTGTCATTTCCTGAGTACTGTTTCTCTGTGGAATAGGAGGGAATAGTCAACATTAGGTTTTTTTCCCCCATCTATATCAACTGGCTGAGTGGCAGCTTATTATGCTTCTGTTCATTTCCCTTTCCCAAGAAATTCCCCAAATACTTGGTCACTGTATGATTGCATGTGCCTCTCCAGAGGAGAGCCCTGCCTCTGGAAGCACCTCCTCCATAAAGCCTCTGCTAAGGCTCAGTCAGACAGTTCCTTCTGAAACTCTGCAAGGACTTCAAAGTAGGTGTCATTTCACTTGGCTCTCACTGCTATTGCATCATGGGTATTCCCCATAACACTGAGTGCAGCGTTTTCTACATCAGAAACATTGGATGTCTATTGCATAATTAAATTAAAGAATGAAATTACAGTTTCATGATCTCGTTGATAAGTTCCCAGAGGCACAAGCTGTCTTTCTTGCCTCAGTACGTATCATTCAACAAACTCAGTCCGTTCTTTGAAAGTAAAGTTTCCTGGCTCACACGTTCACCATGCTACTCTGAAGAGGATTCTGGTACACTTCTTCAAAGGAACCCCCCAGGCATAGAACTTCCCAAGTTAAGCAGTAATCTTCCAGTCCCCTCCAGCTTCATCTTTGGGCCGGGAAGGTGTAAGATAAATTCCTCCAGATTCTCCCCGTTTCACACAAAGTCTACAAGTTTAATCATCTGTCTCCTGGGCCCTGGTTACAGTGATACGTTATATTGTGCCTATCTGCAGATTTGTTAGGGTCTCCATGAAAAGAAGGCAGAGAGTCCAGCTGGTTTCTCATATGGCTGCCTACTACTGCTTTTCTCCTGCAAGCTCAGCCCAAATGACTTCATTTACAGCCTGACTGAACTCTAGGAAGCTCCAAAACACGACAGTCTTATCTACATTTGCATAGAAATAAGACAAAGTTCACTAAGGTAACACGTTTACACGTGTATCTACATATACTTATATGCATGCACACATAAACATATGTCTGTTTTTTTAAGCATGTCATAAGGAAGACAAATATTCTACTTCACTTGCCAAGTGAAATAGATGTTAAGTATTGTGTGCCAGGCACGGCTCCAAGTGCTTTCAAGTGTGGTGACTCATTTGACTCCCACAATAGCCCTGCCTAGGATGCCACACTGTCGTCTTATTTTTACCTAAGCACTAAGTACTTTATCTAAATCTCCGCAGTTATAGGACTAGTGCTCAAAGTCAGGCACTCTGGAGTTAGTACTTTCAATTCTTCACTTATTCATGTCTAACTGTGTACACAGATGCCTTATGAAAAGAGATTGCTTTTCCATCCACACAAACAGTGAGGTGGAATAGGAGTGAGATGCATGTGAAAGTTAAGGAAAAGCACACTACTATAAAGTGATGTTTACACAGCCAATGAACAGTGAGCATTTAAGGGGCATCAAACCCAGGAATTTTGGAGGTCTGGTTTGTGTGTCTTGGAATTTAGTCTTTTGAACTTTCGTGTTTCAGGAGCTAGGAGGACAATCTGGTAACATAGAAGGCTCACTGATCACACCTTGAAACACTGACTCAGATTTACAATCAAAACTCAGACTAAAAACAACAAAAGTGTAGAACTCTGAAGGTAGATTGTGTTTGGGTGACTTAGTCAAGGTTAGCTCGACTGACTGACAACCACAACCTGGCTCATTTGCTCCTGAACCAATAAGATCAAACCAAACCAAACCAAACCAAAACAAAAACAACACTGCACTTAAAGCCCTAGCTTTATTTAGGGCTTCTTTCTCCCCACTCATTCATTGCAAAGGCAGGCATTTGATGCTTTGGGCTTACCTCAGTTTCAGAGTAGCCTGGGCAGTGGTGAATGAGGGCCTCTTTCGTTTTCAAGGCGAATGCTTTCTCGGGGAGTGATGGGCAGCCAGGGATAGGATTGAGAGTATGGTATTCGATTTTCAGAAGACAATCTGGCTGCTCACAAGCGGCAGAGTTCAGGGAGCAAAAAAAAATACGCCAGAAATTAAAAATGGAATGAAACGGGCAGGGAGAGGATGGGGATAGGAGGGAAGGACACCAGGAAGGTGTCTGGAGTCAGAATCCAGAGTCCGGGTGAGAAGAGGATCAACCCACAGGAGGGAGGTGCCTGGCAAGAGTAGCCGAGAGCGCCTACTGGAAGGGCTTCCACCCATGCTAGCTCCGCCCTTCCTTTGAGGTGGTTGTGAAGAACCAGTGCTGACAGCAGATGCCCCGGGACCCAGGGAAGTGGTGTTTCGACTTCGTTCCTCCAGGTTTCCCATCGGTCTTTCTTCCTCGGGCAGAAGGGGATGCCTACTGCAAGTTGCTCCGCAGAGACTTTCTCCTAAACTGGAGAAGTGGCGTCCTAGACTGAGCAGCCCAGATGCTTTCTTTCGGCTTAGCAGCCGGCACATTTTGGAGCTCAGCTGCCGCCTGGGGCTCTTCTCCAGCTCCCTTCCCGGATGCGGACCACCCCAGGGAAAACTAGCGCTATTGAGCTTTTTACTCACCTTGATGTCACAGTCCTCCATTTGGTCGAACTTGGTCACGATCTGGAAGAAAGCAAATTAGGATAAAGATCTGAGTCGGAGGGAAAATCATCCCTCAGCCCTTTGCTTCCAGGGTTCTCTGAGTAGTTTAGGTTCCACCGAGTGATTTTGACCCTATATGATGGACAAGGTGGTGAAACATTCAGTTTTCTGCTTTTTCTAGGTTCTCAGAGGGAAGCCTAGCCCCACTCAAGCAGGGATCCCTGCACCTGGAACTTAAAACCCACTTGCAGCAAAGAACTATTCTTTGGATGTCTATATCTGCTTTATAGTCATTCATATCTGCCTCTCTCTCACATTGTACCTAATAATGTGCATTTTCAAAGAAATAGTTACTATTATATATTTTTTAAAATTAAAGTCTGCCATGTCTCATAACAGTATTCTGAAATATCTAGAACACTAGAAGGCTATGAAACACAGCTCCATGTCTTAACTGCCCTGCTCCTGAGTTCTTATTTTACAAGGATTTCCATTCTGTAGCAAGGAGTAGACCAATATCCATATCCATTTCCAGCCTCTTCTTGCTTTGTAAAAGCCATGTGGATACACATTTTACATGCCAAGGTATTTAAAGTGCCACATCTAAGAAAGTTTGGGGATAGTTTTTTCCAAATTATTTCCCTTTCTTACAGAGTTGAATTGGGCTTTGTATGATATTTGTCCCTACTTTTTTTCATGAGAATAGGAACATATATATATATATATATATATATATATATATATATATATATATATATCTCAAAATGTCTTTTCACTTACCTCATTCAAATCTCCAACCAGGTCATGAAAAATTGTTGCACGATATATTTCCAGAATCTCCTCGAAGTTACAGTTAGAAAAGTTGTAAGTTAGCACCAGCCGTACCACTTGTAAGATGAAGAGGTACCTGAAAAGAACTAGAAAGACACACAGTAAGAAAATGTTCACTGAAACATAGTCCCAACTCTATTTTGTGTAGAACTGTCCCTCCAAGCATGGAGAGCCTCCAGATGTGCAAGGACTGTGCTCAGGTGTCAGCCCTCAGCTCCCTTCCTAGTCCCTCCCTGAACAGCCCATATTCACCCATGCTGTTGCCTGAGCTTGGAGTCTCCCTGATGCTCCAGTGTTCTCTGCCTCCATATATATAACACCTAAACGCCTACGGGCTCTTTTCTTCTAGGCCAATGATTTTCTTTGATGTCATTCTTTCTTTATAGAAATCTAAATTGATGATGTAAAAGAAAAGAAATAAGGCTAGCCAAATCTATGTAATTTTAACATTAGCAATATCACCAGGAATTTCCCTCACCCCTCTCTCTCTCTCTCTCTCTCTCTCTCTCTCTCTCTCTCTCTCTCTCTCTCTTTCTTTCTGTTGCTACATGTTTAGATATGCTTTTAGAGATGGATACCCAGTCATCATTTTGACATCTTTCTCCTACTGGGCAGTTTCTATGACTGATCTTTTCTGCTTGGGAAAAACACCTTCTAACACCTGCAGTCGCTCTAGGGGTTTGCTACTGATGCTGTTCCATCTTGCACACCCTGACCATCTCCTTTATCCAGTTTGAACTGGCACTTTCTCTCTTCATGGCTACCAAGAAACTCAGTGTTCCTGTATGACAGATTTTGTAGAATGAGTGGAGCCTTGAGGTAAAGTAACTTTTACTGAAGGCATTACACTGGAATGGGGCAGTTGTATCCAGAATATTGAGAACAGGAACAAGGAAAAATTGAAATATATGAGACAAGGTCCAATTAATCTCATCTTCAAAAACTCAGAATCAGGGTGAGTGTCTAAGCTTGATAAAGAAAAGTGGTGGTGGTGATGGTGGTAATGGTGGTGGTGATGGTGGTGGAGGTGGTGATGGTGGTGGTGATAGTATGGTAGTGGTGGGTGTATGAAGGGGCACTTCATGGATTCAAGACTCTTCTATCCAATTCTAAACATTATTAACATTTTTAAAACCATAAAGTCAAGCATCCAGCCTCCCTCAAAACTCATTATCTAGGTCTTGGTGGAGTGAAGATGCCCTACCAGAGGTAGTGGGGGCTGGTAAGGTGCATGGTGCTGTTGCAGGTATAAGCTACTGGAGACCTGTCCAGCATGCTCTCCTCCTGGAGGAGGAACAGCTTCTGACCTGTTAAACTGCGTCATCTCAGACTCTCAGCCAGGAAAACTTTGGGTGGCCCCAGGCGTACATCCCAGTGGCACCAATGTCAGGGATGGAGGAAGGAGCTAGATGACGGGTCCAGATTTGTACTTTAAACCCTTGTAGATCCAGCAAAGGGAGTCCAAGACAAGAACAGCCAAATGAGTCGGGGAGAGCGTCTGAGAGGATGTCTCACAGCTTTGAGACTGGAGCAGCGCCAGTACCGGGAGCAGGGAAGAAAGACCAACAGGACCCAGCTGTTGCGATGAACCCCTACTCTCCTGGAGCTCAGCCAGCTGCCCCAGGCCCTCCTGACACCCAGTTCACCCCCCACTCTTTTACATGTCAAAGCCTGAATCAATCTTGTCTTTGGGAAGTTCCTAGGAGTCATTGCTCAGAGCAATGATGTTGGGTGCTCCACGTGAGTCCCTGAAAATGTCACAGACCATGCTGAGCCAGAGAAGGAGCACTGGGATTGGTAAACGATTCCATTCGGGAAACACACAGACTGAAGTCAGAGGTGAACTTTTCCCAGAAGGCCTTCAACAGCTGGAGCAGTACAGCTGGACTCTGGCATTAGGGTGAGGAATAAAAGATTGTAGTGGCAGCGGCAGGGGGCTCAGAAAGCTTCTGCTTCACTGATGACTTTAAAGACGGACTTTTCTAGAGCCCTGCAAGTTTTAAATTCAAGTTATGATACCATGTCTGGGTCTTGGCATCATCCCATCACTAATTCTTACAGTGATATGGGAAGATGCCAAAGCCTGATTCATCTGGTGTGACATCAGACATGATTCTGATCAGCAGCTAGCTATTGCACAGGCAGAAGCCATCTAGAGATCCAGATGTGGTCACTGAGTTGGGATAGTTCCAAGGGACAAAGGAAAGGAAATGGTGGCTGATTTTGCCACCTTCACTCACTTGCCTTCCCCTGTAGGGAGCCTACTTCTTTACTGGCAAGCGTGTGGTCTTTAAGGTCACTTCAAGTATATTGCTTCTCTGCCTGGAACTTTTGGGTAGATTTGTTTGCTGCAGTGGCCAGGAATAATTGCTGATGGGGGCAAGAATGTTGGACGGCAACCTGTTTTTCCCAGTAAAGTTGGCTTGATACCCATGGGGGTGCACCCAGCCTACCTGACATTTTTGGGTTCTCCTTTAAAGCATACACACACAATCTATGTACGTGTAGGTAGATCTGAGGCAGGCAGGGCGCCTCCTTCAGGGATTTCTTTTTTTGTACATGAGTTATTTTTATTTTTTATTTTTTTTAATTTTATTTTTTTTATAATTTATTTATTTTCAGGGATTTTTTTTAGAAGGCATCTCTTTGCCAAGCACATCACCTATATATCCCCATGACATCCAGCTTCCTTACTGGTTATGATGTGACATCTTAGGTCATTTCAATTATATTGACTTTTCCCCCTCAAAACATTTTGGTAGACTCAGTTACTTTGAGATTTTCACTCATCACTCCCATGTTGACTTCAAGCCTTCTTTCTAACCTTGTCTCCTTTATTTACCCAGGCTTCCCTCCAACAGTATTCTAAGGTAATACACTCTGAAATTTTCCTGAACTTGTCTCTTCCAAACCTTGTTAAGGGATTCTGATCACAGAGATGTAGAAACCAAGGCTTCTTTAGGAAAGACAACTTTTAAATGTGCTAGCACAGACTGGGGTTCAAATGAATTGAATCCTGAGCCCAGTAACACAGAACCCTTTTAGGATTTTTGCATCTTTGTCTCCCCTATGTGGAACCTTCTTATGTCACTGGTTATACTAAAGCAAGTGTGGGATTCTAATATGAAGGAAGGAGAAGGAAGTGTCTTTAGTAGAGCTGTAGTGGAGTGTCATGCATATTCCAGGGTAGGGGGAACTACAGGAGAGATGCCACATTCCCTCAGGGGATCAGCCTGTGTAGCCTGTTCATTTTTTCCTTTGATTTGCAGGACTCCTACCACACTCTCGCCTTCTCAGATATTGGTTTGAGTTGTGCAGTGCTTGCCCCATTTGTACAGTGCTCATTCTAGCTGTACAGTGCTCGCCCCACTTGTACAGTGCTTATACTATCTGTACAGTGCTTACTCTATCTGTACAGTGCTTGCCCCATTTGTACAGTGCTCACCCTATCTGTGCAGTGCTCATCCTATCTGTGCAATGTTCACACTATCTGTGCAGTGCTCACCCTATGTGTACAGTGCTCGTCCTATTTTACATTTCTCCCACTTCTGTTTCATCCTACTACCTTTGAAGCTGTATTTATTTTGGGTTTCTCTTTAATGGTGTTCAATTACATCATATTTACTTCTCTTCTCCTCTCCTCTCCTCTCCTCTCCTCTCCTCTCCTCTCCTCTCCTC